GATGTTACCTGACACGGGTCAGGGAACGTGGTATTTTACGGACAACACGGAACACATTCTTATTCGACGAATTTCATCGGATTTGGAAAACCATTCCATGGCGTTCGTGCTCGACCGACGAGTCCGCGTGTACCTCACGCAGGAGCGTGTGTTGGTAGAGTATCGGTGATGTCGGTGATGGATCGCACTTGACTGCGCCATTACGCGAGGCAGCCACGCGTCCCCTGTGGAGTTGCAGCACAGTTGAGTGCAGCAGGCATCATCTCGTGTCCGTGTTCATTCCCCAACACGATGTCCCGGCCACCGCTATAGGTGAAGGTCTCCCCAAACCATGGCCATCACTCACAGGCGCTGTGCTGGCACGATCCGCCTCAATTCCGACACGCGAACCGATCCCCTTTGTCCCATTCCTGCGGCGGTGGTCATCGTCTCAGGCGCGTGGCCTCCTTGGGCTGCCATTCTGTCACCGGTCTTACCCATCGGTCGTCATCGATTTCTAGTGACTCCTCCTGTAAGAGGCCACATCGAGTGTGTCTCTCTGTGTCTGTGTCTCTGTGTCTCCGTGTCTCGTGAGAACAGGCGAGCGTAGCTCTGTGTCTGTGTCTCTGTGTCTCTGTGTCTGTGTCTCTGTGTCCCTGTGGCTCTGTGTCTCGGGAGAACCAGCGAAGGCGTCTCTGTGTGTCTGTGTCTCTGTGTCTCGTGAGAACCGGCCACGGTGTCTCTCTGTCTCTGCGTCTCTGCGTATCTGTGTCTCGGGAGAACCGGCGAGGGTGACTGCGAGAGACGGAGCGGGGGGACAACGCCGGGGCGTGCACGTGCGTGTGTGCTGCACGTGCGTGTGTGCTGCACGTGTGTGTGCTGCACATGTGTGTGTGATGTGTGTGTACTGCACGTGTGTGTGTGTACTGCACGTGTGTGTGTATGTGTGATGTGTGTGTACTGCACGTGTGCATGTATATCCACGTGGCAGCAGTTGTAGCGCAACGAACCTGAGTTGATCACAGGCCTCTCCTAGATCGACTCAGCCTTAAAACAGTGCAGCTGGTTCGGTGTGTAAACAGCAGCACTGGGGGACAAGTGCGGCAGGGCCTGGTGCTGGCTACCCACTCCCAGGGCTGGATTATGGGCCGGGCCAGTGGGGCCAGCGGGGCCAGTGCCCCGGGGCCTCGGACTGCCAGGGGCCTCCAAGCCTCAGGCCGCGCGCGGTGCGTGGCCCGAGACCTCCGATGGGAGTTGAACGCTAGGGCCCTCAGTGCGCACAGCGCAAGCTGACCACGAGGCCCCTGGGTGCTCGTAGCGTGAGCTCGCCACTAGGGCCCCCCAGAGCCCTCAGCGCTTACAATGTGTGGCAGCAGCACTGTTGTCAGCTGTGAGGAAGCAACTCACACTAGTTCAGTTTCCAGCAATGTTGTCACTCCCCCAGAGCCATCCTTTGAAGGGGAACCCTCAACAGCTGATTGTATACAAGAACCATGATTTCCACCTCAGGAGCAGTTGGGCAGTTCACAAGAATTAAATCAGCAACCAAGCCATTCCTGGTGCTATGAGGTCACTGACCCTACATTATGGCAAAGCACTTCCAGTGACATTGTTAAGTCAGTGTTTATTGAAAGAGGAGCAGTCCCCTTCCAAAACCGCAGTGAAAAACACCCAGCTTCAGTCCGAGATAGAGCACTTGGTGGAAAGACGAGAAGTTTCAGCAATGAACTTCTGAACTGTATATTTCCAAATGGGCAGAAGGTTTCTAAACAGTGGCTACTGTACTCACCCTCAACAGGTTGTGTGCACTGTTTTGCATGCAAACTGTTCTCCAGCAAGCTCGGTGGCTTTAGTCAGGGGCTTAGTGACTGGAAGCACTCTGAAAGATTGCAGAACACAGATCATGCATGCTTGCCTTGCACCAGCGGACAAAGGGCAGTGCTATAGATGCAGATCTCATGCAGCAACTTGATGGGGAACGTAAATACTGGAGGGACATTTTGAAAAGAGTTGTAGCAGTGCTAACGTTATTGGGTTAAAGATGACTTGCGTCTAGGGGAGATGATGAACGGTTTGGGTCAACTCATAACGGTAATTTCCTTGGCATCCTGGAATAGCCATCACAATTTGACCCATTCTTAGCTGAACATATTAAAAGGTTTGGCGGAAGAGGAAGAGGCACAGTGTCCTATTTGTCATCGACAATGTGTGAGGAACTCATTGAGCTAATGTGTCAGAAAACTCACCAAGAAATAGCAGATGAGATTCTGGATGCCAAATATTTTTCAGTAATTGCTGACTCCACCCCAGACCTGTCACATGCGGACCAATTGACGTTCATATTCCGGTTTGTTAACAGCAGCGGGAATGTGGTGGAGCGATTCCTGGGCCTTGAGCCAATTGAGAGCCACACTGGTACAAGTTGAGCAGACTGTGTGACTTTGATGGTGGAGGGCCTTGGGTTGGACCTCTCAAACTGTAGAGGTCAGTCACATGACAATGCAAGCAACATGTCAGGAAAATACAATGGGCTACAGGCCCACCTGAAACAAAAAAAACCCTCTGATAGAGTATTTGCCTTGAGCAGCGCATTCACTAAACTTAGTTGGTGTTAACACCTTAGACGGCAGTAGCCCAGAGGCTGACGAGTATTTTTAACATGTTGCAGTCAATGTAGACATTTTTCTCTTCATCCACACACAGATGGGGGAAAGTCTTTTGAAGACATATGTCAGAATGACATTAAAATCGTTGTCCAGTACTCGGTGGAGTGCTCAGGCAGAGTTAATCAAGGCACTGTGGAGAAATTACACCCACATTAGAGAGGCATTCGGTGGTGTGTGCCATGATGATCATGAGAGAAGAGATACTCGAATTGAGGCCGCTGGACCATATGCTATATTGGACACCTTAGAGATGGCGTTCATGGCACATTTCTGGGATGTCATACTTGACCGGATTCCACGCTACAAGCATGCACCTACAGAAAAGTGGCATTGACATCTCTGTAGCAGCACAGCTTTTGTCTTCAATCTTGATTTGAAGCTTTCGTGACTGCAGGAATCCACACTCTTTGGTTCCTTCGGTAAGTCACGTAGTTAGAAATAAAAGAATAAAATAAAACAAACACAGCTTTTGTAATTCGTTGAGGGATTTTGTGGCGGGACAGCGAGACCAGTTTGAGGCTTTTGAAACGGCAGCCTTAAATGTGACAGGTTTCTCTGAGTCATATAAGCACGATCGTCAGCGAAAGAGGAAACGCAAAACATTTGCAGATCAGAGCTCAGAGCCAGGTGTGACACTTGAGGGGAGGGAGAAGTTCAAAATAGAAAATGTTTGTGTGGTCATTGATAATCGAGTGGCATGCCTTGAACATCGCTTGGACGGTTACAAGCGTTTGACCAGTGTCTTTGGAGTTCTGTTTAATGTCAGATCAGGTGTCTAACAGTCGTGTCATAGTGGAAAAGATAAATGCACTCTCCGCTGCATATACATCAGACCTAGACAAGAACTTTGCCAACGAACTCAGAGGGTGAGAAGTGCCCATCTAAATTGCTTGAGACGTTGCAGGCACTTAATCTGCAGTCAGTGTTCCCCAATGTGTTCGTGGCACTTGGGATGTTTCTAACTTTACCAGTGACAAACTGCCAGGATGAGCGGACATTTTCCCGTTTAGGCAGAATAAAAAATGAGCTGTGGAGTAGCATGTTGTCATACACGTCTCAGCTCATTGCCAATCATGTCAATAGAGTCGACCTTGTCAGACAACGATATTTTGACGATCTAGTGGATGATTTTGCGAGGAGGAAGGCAAGAAAGACACCAATATAGGAAAGCGGGGGGGGGGGGGGGCTCCAAAAAACATGAGCCCAGGGGCCTCACGTGACCATGATCCGGCCCTGCCCACTCCCTCGTGTGTCATCCCAGACTTCTTAGGGCTCGCTGACGGCACTTGCTCCAACAGCCTCTTGAGGCTGTGCGGGGTGTCTTTGCCTCCGATGATTGTTACCGTAGATGTCATCCAACATTATTAATATGCGGGTACTTTTGTAATGTGATCAGTTTGGACTATGATGTCGGTACGTAATGGAACGTACTCTCGCAAAAAATATATGACGGGATTTTGCACGTCCACTCTGAAGCTGACGGCGTGTAATATTTATTTATTTTCTAAATACACACCGCAGTATTAATCAGTGAGGCCGCTGGATTCTAACCGCGAATTTTGGCAACAAGCTGCGATTTACACTGCAAAATCTGTTACAACGCATCGCCACATTAGTGTCGATTCCTACGCTCACGATATATAAGATCGTGTGTATTAAGAATGTATCGTGTTATATTCCTACGTGTATATTGCACTGCGTGTGCATTGGGCCCGCGTGACCCCTGCAGCCGCGTCATGGATGCAACTGTTGCAGAGTACACTGTGCACGAACCGGCAGGGTGAACTGTTTCATTGGGAATGTATCTCCGTGTTTTGACTAAGTGTAATATCGTACACATCCATACCCGCATAAGTGATGCACTTTAGATGTGTGTGCACGTGACATTACGCGATCGCTGTGTGTGTGTCACTCGGCACTCTAGACACCCTTGCCAGCGAGGTGTTTCATTTCCAGGGAACAAGCAGGTGAAATGTTTTAATAAAAAATACGAATATCATTTCGCGACCTCGGACCGTAGCAATTCATTGTAACGCTGGAGGCGTGGGGGTGTGATCGTTCCTCCCGATCCCTCCCATCCACCCATCACGTCACATCCCTCGATCTCCCACGATCGGTTGCTCTCCCACAACACGAAATTCCCCCTGGCTGAGAACCGAATTGGTTCCCTCCACACACTTCGAATCCCCCACAGCGGAGAGAGCGGAGTTGCTTTGCTCCACACACACCTCCAAGTGGCGTAGGAGGTTTAACGAAGACACCCCGAATCCCCCTCGCGGAGAGGGTGGAGTTGGTTTGCTCCAAGTGCCTGAGAACCCCCCCCCCCCCCTGGGGGTGAGGGCTGAGTTGGTTTGGCCCTCGCGAGTGACTCCAGGTGAGGGCGAGGTGCCTGCCCAGGCAGCAGCAGCAGCAGGAGGAGGAAGTCGTGCGGGCCGTCTCGAGCCGTCTCGAGCCCACGGCGCTCTCCGTGCGCCTCTTGAGCCGCCCGAGCTGCTAGGAGGGACCGGGTGGCTCTGTGTGCTGCGAGTGAAGGAGGTACGGCGGCGACGACGATGATGGTGGTGGCACTTGTTGACACAACACCGGTGGTGTGCGTCACGAGCTCAGCTGCTGGTCGCGTCGCTTTGGTTGCGTCTGTTGTGAAATGTCGACTTGTGACTTGTGAGGAAGGTGGTAGCCAGCCGTGTGGGGGGCTGTCGAAGATTGTCCTTCGTCAACCCGTGTTAGAAACTTACCGTGTTAGAAACGAGCCGCGTTAGAAGCGAGCCGTGTTAGAAGCGAGCCGCGTTAGAAACTTACCGTGTTAGAAACTTGCCGTGTTAGAAGCGAGCCGCGTTAGAAACTTACCGTGTTAGAAGCGAGCCGTGTTAGAAGCGAGCCGTGTTAAGAAACTAACCGTGTTTGTTAGAAGCGAGCCGTGTTAGAAGCGAGCCGTGTTAGAAGCGAGCCGTGTTCGCTCTCTAACGTCAGTGGGGAGGGGCGGGCGAGATGTGAACCGCACTCGACCAGCGTGGTGAAGTATGGACAAACAAACCCCCCGCGACCTTCAACGGCGTGTGGAGGCAGAGCCTTCATCCAGCAGTGGATTGTGGCAGAGCGGCGTGTTAGTCGTGACTGTCGACAGCGCCCGACGCGAATAACTCGCGGGCGACACTGTGACCACCTCTCCCGGAATGCGCGCCGTCTCGTCAGGCGTCGGAAGCTAAGCAGGGCTCTAGCCTGGACAGTGCTGGTGCGCAGCAGGTGCTATAGGCTGCGGGGCGCGGTGGCTACGTCGTAAGCAGTCCAGGGCAGTCGGCGCAGCAATGTCCACTGGTGCACTCCACTTCCATCACCAACCCGCACTGACCCAAGCAAGGGTGGTGAAGTATGGTCATTGTGTAAACCCTCCATCCAGCAGTGGATTGACGCAGGGGCTGTGACACGCACCGCGCACGATGCGTGTTCGTGCAGCGTTTCCGTGTTTGCATGAGAATGTACCCCGTGGACACGCGCGCGTGTGCTTTGCGTTGTTGTGATGGCCATGGTGGCTGGTGGTTGCCACAAGTGGCGGTGACGGCGGCAGCAGCAGCAGCAGCGCTCAGGGCCGAGGCGGCACTCTGCAGGGAGTGGCGGCCACATTACACTCGTCGCCTGCCCAGCAGCAGCAAGTCGCGCAAGCCGCCGCTGTGAAGGGCGCACACGTCCATCCGACGTCGGTGCTCATCCACTACAGTTCTGCTCTTGCGTGTGATGGCCGCAGCAAATCGTTAAGGAGATAGAAGCCAATATGTATGTGGGACTTCTTTAGCACCGTACGTAGCCAACCGTGCTTATCGGAGGCCCTCTTGACACGACGAGACGCCTTCAAAAGAGAGAGAGAATCCGTGTCGTTGTTCTGCTCCACGTCGTCGTCCCCCGTGGAAGGAGCGCAGGCCACAGCGGTGACCTGTGTGGCCCGGAGGGTGGGTGGCCACGATCACGCGTCTGTGGCTCGTCTTCGAGTGTGCTGTCAGGACGTGCAGGTGACTTCCTCGCCACGGGAAAACAACACTGACGTCGTCACCTTTACAGGAGATTGACAGCAATGGACCATTTCAGGACATTGACAAATAAGAGGCTTGGTTCTTTCGGTAAAGTCACGTAGAAGGGAAATAATAAAATAATATAAATATAAAACAATTAAAATTCTCACGACGTTTCGACTGCAACACAAGCAATCATCATCAGGTGTGATGAAAAACCGCCACCTTTTTTTCAAATTTTCTTGCTGTGGATTTCACACCTGATGATGATAGCTTGTGTTGCAGTCGAAACGTCGTGATAATTTTTATTGTTTTATATTTATATTATTTTATTATTTCCCTTCTACGTGACTTTACCGAAAGAACCAAGCATATGAATCCCTGCAGTCACGAAAGCTTTAAATCAAAAATAAGAGACTCTTTACTGAGGTTGTATACATGCTGCTGCAAGAATATACATAGAGTTAAGCAAATGACGTTTGTGAGTTGTAGGCTGTACATGCACAGCCTTTACTCCACTGCTGGATGAGGGCATGCCCACGCCGTGTGGACCTGGGGGGTTGTTTGACCATACTTCACCATGCTGGTCGGTGCGGGTTGAACGTGGGGAAGTGGGGCATTAAGCGCGTGGAGGGGCAGCAGAGCAGTGCATGTTGGTGGTGTGCGGTCCTCCGCTACCCACCTCTAATGCCTGCCTTGTGTGCGCTGGTCATCTATCCAAGCGCTATCTCCAGGCTCAATTCCGGTTTAGCTTCCGAGATCTGATGAGATCGGATGCTTTTGGGGTGATTTCGGATTCTAACCCTGGAAAGGATTAGTTATGGATTGATGTAAACCCTTTTGTTGACGGCGTAATGATTGCAGTTTAAATATGGGGCCATGGGGATGGCGTCTCAACCAATCAGTGACTCTACTTTAGGAAAGTATTCGTCCAGCTTTCTAAAAGAGGGAGAAGTTTTGTTAAAACTACTCGGACAGACGGACTCCTTCATCCTCGCTGCGATGGTATCGGTGCGTTCAGCGTCGTGTTTGTATCAACCCCTAAACCATCGACTTTATTGCATGAGTAAGCCATGTTTTCCAAGAGTAACGCCCTATCGAGTAACACCGTATACACATTATTAGGATGATTCAGAGTGTTTTACCACGAGGTTGCCTCATTTTTGTGCAGCTGCCCAAGTGCCATGTTTTTGTTCATCTGTTTTCATTCACCCCCTGGTACGCGGTTAGGGTACATGGTTAGGGTACATGGTTGGGGTATGCGGTTAGGGCGCATGGTTAGATTGTCAGAAGAAATTTTCGGCCAGAGGCTCTTGTCTAATCATCACGAAGTGAGTATGGAGCATCGTGAGATGCCGTGCGGTGTAGCTGGCTCCCAGCGGTGTGTAGCTGACTTCCAGTGGTGTGTAGCTGGCTTCCAGCGGTGTGTAGCTGGCTTCCAGCGGTGTGTAGCTGGCTTCCAGCGGTGTGTAGCTGGCTTCCAGCGGTGTGTAGCTGATTCCCAGCGGTGTGTAGCTGACTCCCAGCGGTGTGTAGCTGACTTCCAGCGGTGTGTAGCTGACTCCCAGTGGTGTGTAGCTGACTCCCAGTGGTGTGTAGCTGACTCCCAGCGGTGTGTAGCTGACTCCCAGCGGTGTGTAGCTGACTCCCAGCGGTGTGTAGCTGACTCCCAGCGGTGTGTAGCTGACTCCCAGCGGTGTGTAGCTGGCTTCCAGCGGTGCGTAGCTGGCTCCCAGCGGTGCGTAGCTGACTTCCAGCGGTGCGTAGCTGGCTTCCAGCGGTGCGTAGCTGACTTCCAGCGGTGTGTAGCTGACTTCCCAGCGGCAAGGCGATCGGTCGTACGTGAATCGCAGTGAGGAAGCGGCAATGGCTATCGCAGAAACCCTTTTGTATTATTCATGAACCGGCTACCGTATAAAATGGTGACAGGCATCATTAGGAGGAAGCACGAGATGAAAAGCAACATTCTCAGCCTGCGATTTGGAGGTACAGGCACAGCGAGAGAGAGGGCGGCTGTGGCCGAGGCAGAGAAACGATGGCGTGGCTGGAACGGTGAAGTGTCGCGTTACCGAAACGAAATCTTCTGTCGTCGAGGGTGATGGCCTGGCTGGTCATGCATCTACTGTTTTCCATTCAGAGCTGTAAGGCTACACGGCGGGCCATCTGCTACGCGGTGGATGGGGACAGGTGAGCTGTGAACGAATGTGTAATGCCACTCTATGGCCATTACAATGCCATGACCGAATGTGACCGTTTTAACTTATATTGTAATAATAACCAAATAAAGTATTAATATCTTACACTCCATTATCAATTTGCTACTGCATAACAGACCTTCTGATGGTGTGCCAATCATGGGCATTGTTTGACCATACTTCACCACGCTGGTCAGTGTAGATCAGGGAAGCAGTGGCGTGCTCAAGACCAGTTCAGATACCACTTGCCGCGGATCTCCGCCGTGGTTGGGAATTGACCTCGGGTTGCCCGGTTTGCAGTGCGCTCAACGCTCTGCCAAAGGCTCCTTCCCAGCATTGTCAAACAACACGTGCCCGAAAACGACTGCTCTTTTTTTCTGGATCATTCTTAAAACGTAGACATAATTTGTTTTTATTTTGTAAACTCACTTGGACATCAACAAATTCTTTAGAGCAATGAATTTCCACATGTTAGTTACTGCTTCTGTATTATTTGGAATAGGATTGCACTTATTAATTGACCACCGAGTACACTATGGGGACCTCATTTGCCAGTAAAAATATGATAATTGGTTCTTTACCCTTCTATCTGGCAACAAAACTGACACCTTTTTGCAAGGAGTCATGTTTGCATAGACCGCAATACCTGCAGTCATAAATACAAACAAAAGACATAACTCTGATAATGTGCACTGTCCCTGAAGTTGATTGGTCCACACCCGAGACAGCTTTCCTTCGAGCCTAGTCTCATATGGGTTGGACCAGATGGCGCCAAAAGGCGCACAACTCAAGGACAATGCACCATCAGAGTATGAGAGCTCGGGGCAAGCATCTACACTACGGGGACCTCATTTGCCAGTAAAAATATGATAATTGGTTCTTTACCCTTCTATCTGGCAACAAAACTGACACCTTTTTGCAAGGAGTCATGTTTGCATAGACCGCAATACCTGCAGTCATAAATACAAACAAAAGACATAACTCTGATAATGTGCACTGTCCCTGAAGTTGATTGGTCCACACCCGAGACAGCTTTCCTTCGAGCCTAGTCTCATATGGGTTGGACCAGATGGCGCCAAAAGGCGCACAACTCAAGGACAATGCACCATCAGAGTATGAGAGCTCGGGGCAAGCATCTACACTATGGGGACCTCATTTGCCAGTAAAAATATGATAATTGGTTCTTTACCCTTCTATCTGGCAACAAAACTGACACCTTTTTGCAAGGAGTCATGTTTGCATAGACCGCAATACCTGCAGTCATAAATACAAACAAAAGACATAACTCTGATAATGTGCACTGTCCCTGAAGTTGATTGGTCCACACCCGAGACAG